TGGACGAGACACAAACCCTTCCTGCTTAAAGCTTGCAAAAATCCCCCATGAAATTACAAACAACTTTATAGCTTGGATGTGTTATGCGTGGACGACTGTGTAGAAAGAGATCAAGGAAGTGGGTATTAAGAGTTCTAAGAACAGTTAACTATAAGAGAAAATTGACAGTGTGAAACATCACTTCCGTGGAAGGCTAATTATCCGGAATTGCCAACCAACTAACAGGTTGCCGAGATGAAGTTCAGTCCTTAACAAACCGATTGGAGAAAAAGCCTGAAATGACGGAAACTTGTCATACTATTATAACAAATTAACTTGAAGAAGGAGTGATTGAAATTGCACCAAAGAAATCACAAGGAAGCCGTGAACATTCGCTTCAAAATAAACGTGTCTTATGTGAGAAAGCCAAGTCTACGAAACTAAGGATCGTATATGATGCTTTAGCAAAACTTGATGAAAGGTCACCTTCATTGAATGATTGCCTGGACATTGGACCACCACTGCAGAGAAGAATCTTAGATGTACTCTTACGTAGTCGAATGAGACCGATTCTTTTAGCAGGAGATATCAAGCAAGCATTCTTACAAATAGTAATCAGGGAGATTGGTAGAGACGTAATGAGATTCTTATGGAAAATTGATTTTCAACACAAAGAGATGGTCGTATATCGTATGACTCGAGCGATGTTCGGACTTGGTCAAAGTCCATATTTACTTGGAGGAATTTTAAATGTTTATATAGAGATATTTGCACTGCAATATCCAAAGTGTGTCCAAGAATTTTCTGACGGGACTTACGTAGATGATATAAATGTGGTGATGATACAGTAGAAGAGACTAGAGAACTCAAACAACAATCAAAAGAGATTCTTAGCAAGCGACATTTTATACTCCAATAGTGGTACTCCAACGCGGTTGAACTTGAAAGGGATAATGAAGAGGATGGGGATCTTTAGCATAAGAGTATACTTATGCTAAAGATACTTTAGGAACTAAGCCTTCAGAAACCTAACTTCTCGGACTGGGATGGAACAAGCATGAAGATACTTCGTCTATATCACTACCAAAACAAAAGATTCAAATTACCATGCAAGCAGTTTTCCAAACAATGGCAAAACTGTACGACCGGTTAGGTGTTGCAACTCTAGACCTTCTCATAGCGAAAGTAATATCTCTAAATATCTGTGATCTGAAAATTACTTGGATGTACATTTGGCGGAAAATGTCCGCAAGCGTTGAGAAAAATGGTTAAGCAGTTTGCCAAGTGAGTTAACCTTTCCAAGAAGGAATCCTCGGAAACGAGTAGGGACTACAGCAATTTACATTCATGGGTTTTCCGATACGAGTATTTTGGGATGTTGTGTCGCGCTGTATGTGGTGACGAAACAATGTGAGGTAGTTTCGCAAGGGCTGTTGGTATCAAAGGAAAGATTAGCAAAACACGATTTAACTATTCCAATATTAGAACTTGTAAGTTGTCATATGGTTTCTAATTTGGTGAAAAATACACGAAAAGTTCTCAGTTATCTCTGACGAAGGTGTTTAGCCGAGGACTGATTCAACCATGTGTCTGCAATGAATTAACGGAGGGTCAACTACCAACAGTTTGTTTCAAATCGTGTGAAAAAATCGATGAGAAACAAATAGAGTTGAAGTACGGGCCAACCAACGAAAATCCAACAGACATTGGTAGTCGCGGTACAATGAATGATCTGCAGCTAAACAAAACCTGGATAAAGTGTCCTAGTTGGTTAAGTCAACTTAATAAGTAGCCGAAACAGGTACAGATCAAACCATCCGAAAACTTGGAATTGGAAAGTCGAATGGTAAATGAAGTGATTATGGTAACCATTCCAAAAGAAATTGAATTCATTGTTCATATGCTGGAAAAGTTCGTCCTTTCCAAAACTGTACAAGTTCAAGCATGGTGTAAGAGATTCGTTGATAATTTAGTATGTAATAAAATAACCAATGGTACATTAACGGTAGAAGAAACTCAAGCGATAATGAAGTTACTGATCTGACGAGCAAAAGCTGAAAATGAAGCGATGGAAAATTTCAAAGACGATTCTGCCTAACTTAATAGTTATGCTTCATAGCTGGAAAATATTGCTCTATGGACGAAACGGTGGCAAAACTTGTACCTGTGCTCGACATTGCTGTTAATTGTTGTAAATTTATGTCGTGTCCTCGGCCTCCGCGATTAAAAGATCGCGCCACTTCCTCGTTTATAGACGATAATTCAGAGTTTTCACGACATGGTGAAATAACTTCTGACAATTCTTCGACTCGAGCTAAAATGCTATTAATAAGTTGACCTGCTCTTGGTGACCCGTTAATCGCATTCGCATCCATCTTACAATTGCTACTGTGAATTTGGCACCACGATGGGCACCCACATATGGGCACCACATTCAACACAGCAGTCATCACAATAATCATCATCATATTGAACTAAAATTTATCATTCAAAATAGACCAGGCAGAGAAAGGGGAGTAAGTCCCTCAACAGGACTTTATTGCTTATTGTTTTTATCAATAAATTTCAGTTGAATGCGGTGATGAATTATGCTGATGATTGTGCTGTTGCAAGTAGTGCCAAACTCATATTAGTACCAAATATGCAGTGCTACATGACAGCCCTCGTCTGCCTCATGTCCAATCTTTAGGTAGTGCGTGCACTGGTTCTCAAACGGGGATTTTTTTCTCGACCGACATTTTTTTTCTCGACCGGGATTTTTTTCTCGATCGAGATTTTTTTCTCGACCGAGATATTTTTTTTCTCGACCGGGATTTTTTTCTCGACCGGGATTTTTTTCTCGACCGACATTTTTTTCTCGACCGACATTTTTTTCTCGACCGACATTTTTTTCTCGACCGAGATTTTTTTCTCGACCGGGATTTTTTTCTCGACTGGGAATTTTTTCTCACAATATATTTGCTTTACTGAGCTACCATCTGCAAATTTTTAATGATAAACACGTGTTTCTCAACATCGGTTTGCTTTCTCAACAGAGATTTTTTTCTCGACCACCTTTTTTCCGAAATGGCTTGCCACAGTTTTACTCAAAATCTATTCATACTTTACTATAAACAAAATGTGTTTATACATCTTGAAGCAAATGTACGGAATTTTATCGCACGCTTTGTCCAAATCTAAAATGAAACAATGACAGGAAACAGCTTTTTTATGATTGTTTTTCACCTTCATGCGAAGCTTCTAGACAGTTACCAAAAATAACTTTCCAATGTAAAGCCAATATAGGTATTACACTTGCTCTTGACGACAAGTTCAATCTTTTACCACAATGCCATAATAGATACAATCTGGATATTTCCTGTCTGCTTTAGACTGTGGCAATGTTAAAAACACAAAACTTGCGTGAGAAGAAAAGAATGAAGAAAAACATTCCCCAAGTTTTGACTTGCTTGCTGGGGTAACCTTTCTGTTATGGTACACCACTTTCATATGAACGGCTAATTATTCCTAATGATTTAACCAAAAATCATTCAAATAAAAATGGTTCGTTGCTCAGTTATGTGCAATATATTATTATCATCGAAATCAGTAAGATCTTCTTCAAGAAGCTAGATAGCAGGAGTAACAAATGTGGGCTAACATTTTTACTCATCAGAAATATTGCATTAAAGTAGTCACTGTAATCACATGCATTCGGGGTGTCTCGCACAAATGGTAATCTTCACATTGGGAACCAATATTTTGATCACTGTGAAGTACGACTTACCGCCACGTATATGACATATAATGTCAACCACAGTGGGTGATATTTTATTGTATCTAGGTTTCTTACAAAATCCACTTATGCAAAACAGAGTAATTTAAAACAAGCGTTTTCATTTTTCCTTTAAAGTGTATTCATGTTTGATTTGCAAATTCTCTTGGATTGACTCATTGATTTGATAGAGTGTTTGCACCTATACGACACCACTAAGAAAGCAGATGTACAAATAACAACAAAGCTCTTATCCATGCAGTGTATAAAAATATATTGGCAATTCATGATCTTGACAGCTTGAGTTTGAGTATGATTTCTATCTTAAATGGACAATTCGTCATTTCTCATATAATTATTCACAGATACTGCTAATTTATTCATTTGAGCACATGCGCGTTTGTAAAAGCTGAAAAAATTAGGGCTTTTCATTCGCGCAAGTGGAGAACACGCTTAAAACGGCAGCGCATACTGGAAAAAACTACTTACACCAACTGGTAACATCCGAAGAAAAGTTTTATGGCTGATGCTTGATAAGATGACTCGCACGTATTTCTATATAGTTTGCCTTTTTAGCGAATACTTAATCATGCAGGAATTACAAAGATACGTAACGCAATTATTTTTTATTCAGACTTTCACAACGTATGTTATGTTGATATTTTTGTGTTGACAACAGAAACGTGTTGACAAAATGCTTGAGGTCATTAAAGAGCAAACAAAGAAAGATATTATATCACCACAACTGTTTCGGCTTTGGAATATATGACAAACATGTTTTAAGTGGCAAATTGCATTGCATGTACATGAAGCATGATAACAAACGTGTTATTGTAGTTATAATAATGTAGGATAAAACAGACAACAAATAAACCGCATATATAATGCACTGATGATTCACAATTCTTTGGTGTAAATTATTTGTCATTTACGTGGCGGCAAGTCGCACTTTACAGTGATCATAATATTGCCTCTGAATATTAAGACTACCACCTCTGCGAAAACCCTACTCACGTTTAAGTGCTTTTGTCAAATATTGGCCACGCTACATTTTCAATAACGTATCACATTATACCACAAAAATGACTCAACTTTTATACTCTATATAAAATAAAAGTGAATCATAACCACAAACTTAACTGCTGCATGTATTCGGTGGTTATTTACTATATATCTCAAATATCTTGTTTTCCATTTTTAAAATGCCGCTCCTACCTTAGACAGTATCGTGTTTTTGATCACAGCTAGATGTCATTGTGACCTTGTGCACCCTTATGAACATACAAAACACATAAATTGCATGACACCACCTCAATGATTCATTAACTGGGACAGAAGTTTAGAAGCACAATCATAGCACTTCTTGAAGATCTGGTGAGTAATAGTTACACTCTCGTTTAAGAAAAATCTTTCGTAAAATTTGACACGAGTCGTTGTATCTTTTCAAACAAAGTGTAGAAATTTGAAATTTTTAGCTCATAATGTTCAAAATTTTAATACACGATATCTGAATTCGTAGTCTTTTTTCAAACAATAACAAACTTTACATAAGTTGCATCAATTTTTACAATGATCGAATATTTTGCAACAGCAATTACCGCTTCTTCTTTTTACTTCGTTTTACAGTTTCACACTGCTACAATGCATCTAAAGTTATTCCTTGTGTGTTCCATACTCAGTTTTGCGACAGGCAATGTATTCCGAAACATTGAAAGAGGTAAGATGTATCCTATTTACTGTGGAAATTTCCTTTCAATATATATTTAATCAGAAAAAACGTTTTAGTGCTCGTATGCCTTCGGTTGTTTTTCAGCTAACATACCTGGTGGTCTTGGCCCTTTGCAAAAATTTAACCCATTGATTCAAAATTTGATTAACCAGGTAAAATTTTTTAGCTTTGTATTACTTTATATATAGTTCATGTAATGTCATCTGTGCTGCTATAATACGGCTTGCAAAATATTCGATTAAGAAAAGAATGCGTGTCTGATATTTTATTTTAGGTGCGATTAGATGCTGAAAGTGAAGCTGGTCATAAATTTGATAACTACTTAGCAATGTCGTACAAATCGCAAATTGTAGGTGGCACGAATTACTTTGTCAAGGTATTTCAAAGTAGAATTAAGTATTTCTAATATTATAAATTATTGCTAATATTTAGCACAATGTTATGCATAATAACTATATCGAATTTTTTTAAGGTTCAAATTGGTCTTGAAAAATATGTTCATTTGAAAGTGTTTGTTCCATTCCCGTTTGCAAAACTCCCACCGACACTCTTGCGTATACAGTTAAATAAAAAGAAGGATGATCCAATTGAATACTTTTAGTATATTGACAGAATTTACGTTGACAATATGAAAAAGGTGTAATGAAATAATTTTCCAATAAAAGCAAATAAAAATTGATTCTTGTTTGATTATTGTCAAAGCTAGTTCGGTAAGAAAAGTCTACTAGAACAGATAAAGCTAGTTTGCGGTGTAAAATATCTACTTCACAATTCAAAAATGTAATATTTCTTTTAAAAAAATTTTTGATGTGAAGGCAATTCAAATAAAAAAAAGACTTGTGTACTGTACAATGTTCTTTTGGAAAAGCTTTTGGAGAAACAAGAAATAATTCTTTTGCAGTTGCTGTTTTACCTTTTTACATAATGAATTATGACGGCATGACTCAACTTAAACCAATTACTCCAAAAATAGCTCTCCGATCTGAAAGGGCTGCTATCAATTTCAGCGGCTGAAACCAGTATCATGCTTGCTCTGGTTGCCAAGAAGTACGCACTATTCGATTAAGAAAAGATTGCGTGTCTGATATTTTATTTGATTATTTTACTAAGTTCTATATTCTTCAACAATCAACAATTCAAGAATTACTGCTATACAACTAGAAATGTTGTAAACTTGACACTCAAAAAATATTATTTGATGGAAAAGCATTGACTATTGCAAAAATTCCACCACATGGGAAAATGGCATACTTAATTATAGTTATACCTTGGTGCAGCGACTTTCTAGTAGTGCGAAAGTGCAAGTTCTACCCATAATTCAACTAATTTGTGAATGCTATAACCAGAAGCTGCAAGTTCGATTCAGACACAACAGTCAAATTAAAGGCATTCGATCAATCAAATTAAACGACATTTCTTGAGTAAAGTGTACCTTTGAAATAGGTCCACGGTTGTCCGTAAAACAAAGAAATGCGTTGTTAATAAAAGAGGAATTCTTTTTAGTTTGGATGGCAGTTAAAATTCTCATACAAGTGAAATTGTAAATATCCAGTTCACAAATTATAACGTATAACTTAATTATATGTATAAGTTATAACTTCCACTTTCTCACAATTATAAATTTGCGTCTCTCTAGAAACTAAGTTCTCATTACCATTAAAAGAGTTGTATCCTAATAAATCTTATTTGTGATGTTTTTCAATAATGATTAGAGTATAACTTATATATATATATTAACATTATATTTGGATACATGGAACAAACGCATATTGCCTAGCTATTAATCATGATTTTACACAACGCTAATGAGATATTTCTATTGACAACAGAGAACGTGCATGTTGTATACCCTGGTTCTAAGTTTACTTATTAATGTACAGTCATAACAAATATCAACCATAAATTCAAGATTTTTTCAATGCATGCAACTCATGAAATGGATATAAAACATATGAGTGCTAAGTAAGAGAAACTTAATAATTGTGTAGTTTAACTCATAATGTATTCATACTTTAAAATAAACAAAATGTGTTTATACATCTTAAAGCAAATGTACGGAATTTTATCGCACGCTTTGTCCAAATCTAAAATGAAACAATGACAGGAAACAGCTTTTTTATGATTGTTTTTAACCTTTATGCGAAGTTTCTATACAGTTACCAACAATAACTTTCCAATGTAAAGCCAATATAGCTATAACACTTGCCTGACCTCTGGACGACAAGTTAAATCTTGTACTACAATGCCATAATAGATACAATCTGGATATTTCCTGTCTGCTTTAGACTGTGGCAATGTTAAAAACACAAAACTTGCACGAGAAGAAAAGAATGAAGAAAAACATTCCCCAAGTTTTGACTTGCTTGATAGGGTAACCTTTCTGTTATGGTACACCACTTTCATATGAACAGGTAATTATTTCTAATAATTTAACCAAAAATCATTCAAATGAAAATGATTCGTCGCTCAGTTATGTGCAATATATTATTATCATCGAAATCAGTAGGATCTTCTACAAGGAGCTAGATAGCAGGAGTAATAAACGTAGGCTAACATTTTTACTCATCAGAATATTGCATTAAAGTAATCACTGTAATCACATGCATTCGGGGTTTCTCGCACAAATGGTAATCTTCACATTGGGAACCAATATTTTGATCACTGTGAAGTACGACTTACCGCCACGTATATGACATATAATGTCAACCACAGTGCGTGATATTTTATTGTATCTAGGTTTCTTACAAAATCCACTATTGCAAAACAGAGTAATTTAAGACAAACGTTTTCATTTTTCCTTTAAAATGTATTCATGATTGATTTGCAAATTCTCTGGGATTGACTCATTGATTTAATAGAGTGTTTGCACCTATACGACACCACTAAGAATGCAGATGTACAAAAAAAAACAACAAAGCTTTTATCTATGAAATGTATAAAAATATATTGGCAATTCATGATCTTGACAGCTTGAGTTTGAGTATGATTCCTATCTTAAATGGACAGTTCGTCATTTCTAACATAATTATTCACAGATACTTCTAATTTATTCATTTTGAGCGCAAGCGTGTTTGTAAAAGCTGAAAAAATTATGGCTTTTCATTGGCGCAAGCGGAGAACACGCTTAAAACGACAGCGCATACTGGAAAAAACTACTTACACCAACTGGTAACATCCGAAGAAAAGTTTTATGGCTGATACTTCATACGATGACTCGTACGTATTTCTATATAGTTTGTCTTTTTAGCGAATACTTAAACATGCAGGAACTACAAAGATACATAACGCAATTATTTTTTATTCAGACTTTCACAACGTATGTTATGTTGCTATTTTTGTGTTGACAACAGAAACGTGTTGACAAAATGCTTCAGGACATTAAAGAGCAAACAAAGAAAAATATTATATCACCACAACTGTTTCGGCTTTGGAATATATGACAAACATGTTTTAATTGACAAATTGTATTGCATGTATATGGAGCATGATAACAAACGTATTATTGTAGGTATATAAATGTAGGATACAACAGACAACAAATAAACCGCATATATAATGCACTGATGATTCACAATTCTTTAGTGTAAATTATCTGTCATTTACGTGGCGGCAAGTCGCACTTTACAGTGATCATAATGTTGCCTCTGAGTGTTAAGACTACCACCTCTGTGAGAAACCCTACTCACGTTTAAGTGCTTTTGTCAAATATTGGCCATGCTACATTTTCAATAACGTATCACATTATACCACAAAAATGACTCAACTTTTATACTCAATGTAAAATAAAAGTGAATCATAGCCACAAACTTAACTGTTGCAGGTATTTGGTGATTATTTACTATATATCTCAAAAATCTTGTTTTCCATTGTTAAAATGCCGCTCCTACCTTAGACAGTATTGCTTTTTTGATCACAGCTAGATGTCATTGTGACCTTGTGCACCCTTATTAACACACAAAACACATAAATTGCATGACACTACTTCAATGATTCATTAACTAGGACAGAAGGTAAGAAACACAATCATAGCACTTCTTGAAGATCTGGTGAGTAATAGCTACACTCTCGTTTAAAAAAAATCTTTCGTGAAAGTTGACACGAGTCGCTGAATCTTTTCAAAGAAAGTGTAGAATTTTTAAATTTATAGCTTGTGATGTCAAAAATTTTCCGACGTGATGTAAGATAACTTTTTAGCATCAATGAATGTGAAACGAGTCGCTGTAACTCATCAAGGGGTATAGGATTTGAGAATGCATATAACATATTGTCGAATGGTGTGTCACTCTCGTTTTAATTATTGCCCGCGTCAAATATATTCACATTTTGTTCAAACAATCTTTAGAATCTCAGAGCAATCTTTGTGTACAAACTGTGAGCGCTGGAAATGATGTGTGAATTAGTGGTCTGAAAATAATGTTAGAATTGCAAAAATACAAGTTTTACACGATTGGCAAAAATTCACAAATGATAGCATTTTTTGCAACAGAAATGACTTTATTTTTTTCGTTTTACAGTTGTAAACTGCCACAATGAATTTAAAGTTGTTCCTTGCGTGCTCCATTGTCAGTTTTGTAACCGCCAATATATCACTCCCCCAAATAGTTGGTAAGTTATGCGTTCTTTAGAAAGCTTCAATTTGATATTTTTCACTCGTACTATCAAAGATAAGCCCAAGTTTCACATTCCGATTTTCATGTAATTTTGTAAGATTGAAAAAATCTCGCATTGAAGTAATCAAAATCTTTCTTCGAACGTTTCACGCGTGAGTGTCACTAACGACAAGTGAAACGAACCATGAAAGCTTTACATTATTGTGATTTTACATAATATAGGCTATAAAGAGATGACTTATATCAAAAATTGTTTTAAAAACAACAAAATATCATGGTGAATGGTCAAAATAGCGACGTACTAGTTTATAAAGGAACTGTTTAAAACCAGAACAGTAACTCAACACTTCTAAAAGAACTGTTTTTATAGCAAAAGACACTATACATTTTGGCAGACTACTCCTCACTGAGTAAACGTCTGCTAATTGGCAGACTACTCATCACTGAGTAAACGTCTTTGAAATCATGCGATATTTATAATGTTAGGAAAAAGTTAACGTCATCGCTAATTTGGTAATTAGAAAATTTGGTCGGAATATGAATTGGCACAGTGAGTGTTACTCAAAAGATGTTTCACTGCTGACTCACATGAATATAAATTTTCATTCGTACAATCAAGTTTTAGTTCTTGTCGTAAAGGAACAGTTTTTTTACTGATAGAAGCTACTACATATTGCTTTATTCTATCACCTAACTTTTGAGAAATTCTACCTGAATAGAGAACATTACTTTCTCATTTGAACTTGTAGAATACATTTCTTGACATTAGCACAGGCACACTTTCTTTTTCTGCTGGCTAGTAGAATAATTTTTTTGAAAATATAGCTAAAGACAACGTTGCAGGCAAAGAACAAACTCTCAGAAATATTTTTACTTTCCCTCTCGATGTCCTTTGAGGCCTTACACATCCAGGGAAGTTTAAAAAATACAGGGCATTTGGTCGGAGCAAAAGGTTTATTGCGTTCATTGATAGTAGAAAGGAAAAGTTTGCTTGGCACTTTTGCCGGATATCCAATTGAAACAAAAATTTTCTTCAATGATCACTTTCAATTAGCTCCTTTCACTACAACCTATGCGTTTGCTTTATCAAACAGATGCCTTTGCTTTATTATTATCTTTTGCCGAAGCTTGGTAGACAAGAGATTGTATTTTTTACTAACAATCCGCTGAATTAAGCTATCTTTAAAGTTTAGCTCTCGAATATGATACATAGATAAGTGAAAGTTTGGAGCCATATTTGACCACGCTGGGTTCAAGTTTTAATGATTCTGAATGGTCTTTTTGCTAAAATTTTTATAGAGAGTAATATATCAGGATAATCTGTCCATACCATATCTGCTGTTTTTTAATAAAGAATGATAAACAAGCTGAATTCGATAAGTGATAACTTATTTAACTTACTAGTTTTGTACATCTAACGTTGAAAAGGCCAGGAGTAAGTGTCATTCATGAAATGGACATTTTTAAAATGTTTTTTGGCATTGGCATAACTTAACTGACTGAAAATCTGTGAAATGATATAAATCTTGATTTGTCTATGTAGCAGATTTACCTAACCCATTTAAAATGACCAGGTTTTTGATTATGCAAAACAAAATTATTAAAGAAGACTTCCAAACAGCTGCTTTTCTCTTGAAAGGATGGCTATTAGCGTATGCGCAAAAAATACGCAATTGTAATGTTACCTCTGACATATAGTTGTTGGCTTACAACGTCGTGAATCCTATTACTACAAGATCGATAAGATTCAATTCTTTGTTATCTTTTGTTTTAAATGATTTCGGCACATGTAAAATGCGACGTTTGAAATGGTCCAAAGAGTTATTTGACTGAGAATTTAGCACAAATCACGAAGAAGTTGAGTGTAAATAATATCAATTTTATAATGTTATCTGAACAAAGTTGATTAATTTATTTCATTTTGCTGATATATGCCACATACTTGACAGACTAACCACAAGAACGTTTTTCTTACATATTTTTAGGTGGTTATGGCCCTGTTCTTCCAGCAGGCGCTAAGATTCAAAAACTTATTAACCAGGTGCGGTTTTGTTATACATGGTCTATCTGATGTCAGTTCAATGTTTCAAGAGTATAGCCCGATATGTTATCAAGGAAAATACATGCAATGCATAATACGTGTGTGCGTGTGTGCGGGTGTGCGTAACAAATATTGTCTAAGTCAAAAGTCTTTATGGCATTTCTAGTAAAAACTTTCCTCTTCTAATGAGTGCATTGATTTTTGTTGCAAGCTCACACTAAGTCGACTATGTATTCTGCTTTCAAAGATACACTAGAAAACAATAAAATGTAAAAGAAATGTGCGCAATATTCTGTCTTAGGTTCGCTCTGACGCTGAACGTGAAGCTGAACGTGAAGTTGGTGAAAAGTTTTCTGTATACGTGGCAGAAAAGTACAGAGTACAAAGTGTAGCAGGCACCAATTACTTAATTAAGGTACTTCAATGTAAAAATTGCTAAATATATAATATTGGCGATAAAAAATTGAATAAAAAATACACATGATAAAAGAATGCTCAATATCTTTATGGATAGTGCAAAATACAAATTTATAAAAGTAAAACAAATGATATCACAAAATTATTTTTTACATAGTGTTTCACAGCTTACAGCGATCATCAGGTGAATGAAAACTATAGTTTCACCTGATGATTGCCGTAAGGCGTGAAACACTGTGTAGTGAATGGTTTCATGATATTATTTAATATACTTCTATGAACTTGTAATATTGGTAATGTGTAGCGCAATGATACACATTAATTAAATCTAAATATTTATCAAGGTGTATGTTGGTGGTGGAAAATATGCTCATCTTTTGGTGTTCGAACCACTGCAGTACCCTAAGAAACCACCCGTACTCAATGGCATAAAACTCAATAAGAAGTACGATGATCCACTTGAAGTCTTTTAAATTCTTTCTTACTTTTTAGTTATAAGCTAAATTACAATGATATGGTAATTGTTGTAATGATTAAATAAAAATTGTATTGCATTAAAAGTTGAATTCGTTTGCTGTTTAAATCATTTTCAAAGTCGGCTGAATTAGAGAAGAAACAAGCTAAAAATATAGTTCTTCACATATGAGACAACTCTATGCAATTTACAAATGGAATGCTTCTTTTAAAGCAAAAAGGCAGTAGCAAAAAGTGGCTTAAAAATAAGTAAAAATAATTTCAAAACACTTAATCACTCATGGCGAAAATTGCCGGAACCCTTTAAAAAACTTTTTGTTTAATAACGCTGGCCTATGAAATCATTACCTACAGAATTGCAAGAGAGTGCAAGCCACGTTTCTCTTTTAAAAGAAAAATTGGTATAGTCGTTAGCTGTAAATCTTGGAATGGCGTTGGCAGTTAATAAGTTTTAGTTGTGCAATATAAAATGTTTACAGTAAGATGAACACAAAAAATTGACATAACATTGCTAAGTTTGAGAACTAGATACGTCATTATTATCGTATATATTGTTTTTAATTATCTCACATTTTAACATTTTGTCCATCTGCATAGCTTTAAATTAGCAAAAATCCATTTTTTGTCTTGCATTTATGTTTGCAAACATTGCTACTAGTCGTGCTTGTTTTAGATATTATTATCAATCTTACATTAATATTATGTAATATGAATTTGTCAATATGCGGAGAATATCTTTGATCCTCTCCACGAATTTTTGTTTAATATCTCTTTTTTGTTCCACAAAATTTGCTATGTTTTTATTTATGATAGTAGAAAATGCTTGGGAAAATATCTTACTCAGCAGGAAAAGCCTTCAAGTTGTAATCGTAATGATTACCTACTGAATTTAATCTATCTTGAAGAAACCTTAAAATAACAAACTTAACTACACGATACGGGAAGCCAAGATTATCCGTAAACTTAATTTTTGCAAACCTCCAGCGGAAGGTGTGGCAATTTTTGCTGACAAATGAGGCGAGGGAACACTCCCTATTCGATAAGAACATCTAGTTAATGACATCATGTCATTTTGACGGTTGGAAACAAGTGATCTCACTCACTAAGGTGACCTCGATCTACTAAGGTAAAGAAATTCAAAATGCAAAATTCGATTCTTTAAAGTAGCGACAAAAAATATCAAATAAAAAATAGAGACTTTACCGTAGTGAAAAATCTGAAAATAGTTCTAACGAACGCAAATACCATAGTGAATGGTAAAAGTAATTTAATAAGTTGATAGTTATGAAATTAAACGACACGATGCATATCGGAAAACTACTCCTCAGGTGTCAACGTCTGCTAAATGAAAATTTACAATCTACCGATATTTACAATGCCAAGAAAGAGTGTACGTTATATCCAAAGGGGCAGATGACCTTCAAAACAGGGATAAATTAAAAACGTCTTCCTTTTGTCGGCAGAGGACAGGATTGGTTAACTTAATTAAAACAGCCTCTATGATGCGTAACTAAAGAATGAACGGCATTTTTAATGAGTCGAAAGTTGTCATCTGAATAAGAATATGCTCAATGAGAGTTTTTCAAGAGATGTTTACCTATCGCGGAGTCACATAAAATTAAATTATTTTTCTTACAATCACGTTTTGGTTGTTGCCTTGACGAGACCGTTCCATATATGATTGAAGTTGATACATGCTTTCTGATTCTATCACCTAACCTTTGAGACGTTCTACTTACATAACGAGCATCACACTCAGATTTATATTCATAAACTGCATTGCTTAAAAGTTATGCGGGTAGAGATTCTTTTGGGTTGGGTGGTAGAATAGTACTTTTCAAAAAAGTAAAGATAACATCGCCTGCAAAAAAAACAAACTCTCCGTAATATTCTTAGATTCCCTTTCAATATCATCAGAAGCCTGGGTACTTAGCTGGTCCAAAAGGCCTATAAACAGGGTACTTAGCTGGTCCAAAAGGCCTATAAACAGGGTACTTAGCTCGTCCAAAAGGCCTATTCTGCTCATTTTTTGTTGATGAGAAAAGTTTATCATGCATTTTTTCCGGATATCCATTTGAGAGAAATATATTTTTCAATGAGTTGAGATTGCCCTCAATGAACTCCTCTGATGACAGTCTAAGCGTTCGCTTTATTAAACACTTTACTAAAGAAATCTTTTCTTTTTGTGAAGAAAAAGAGTCAAAGCGTACAAACCCGTAAAAGTTGCCTTGCAATGAATACTTGTAAGGAATTGACTATTGCGTTTATAGACAAGAATATCCAAAAACGCTAACTGACAATTTGATTCATGTTCAGACGTATAATTTAAAGAAGGGTAAAGAGAAGAGAGTTTATGTAGAAGTAATTGGCGATTTTTGTCGTTACGAAAAAGGGAAAAGGTGTCGTCAACGTAACGTTTGTACCACAGCACATCTGGAGGCTCAGAAGAGGCAAACATCTTACACTCATAATAGCTTACGAAAATATTAGCAAGTAATTGTCCAAAAGGAGAACCCATAGCCACCCCATGATATTGTTTGTACACGATATCATTAAAACTAAACTCAACTCCTCTAGTGGCTGCTAACATTAATTCTCTAAAAGCCTCCTCGGATATGTGTGATACAGCCATGTCCGAGTGAAAAATTTATCAACACAGGTTTCGATGGTTTCTTCTAAGTGCACATTTGTAAAAAGACTTGTTACATCAAAAGAGCATATTTTCAGATTAGTATGAGCAGAAAGATCTAGTTAATTGAGTTGATTAGTAAAAGTAAATGAGTCTTTTAAACCGTAAATTGAGAACTTCTCTAAAACAGGTGAAAGTACAAATGACAGTTGTTTAGCTAACTCATGATGAGCTGAGTTAATCATGGCAAGAATTGGTCAGAGTGGAGCGCCCTCTTTGTGGATTTTGGGCAATCCATACATACGTGGTCTTTCTGCACCGGTTGGAAGAACTAAATTATAAAAATTCTCACTGATTTGATTTGGCTTTCTTACTTCCAAGAGAAGTGTTTGTAATCTCCTTTCTATTGAAGAGGTTTTGTCGCAATTTGGCAATTTACCAAGCTCGCAAAATTTATTCTCGTCGTTTAAAATGTCTAGCATTTTGCTATTATAGACCTCCCTATCTAAAATCACTACACCAGAGCTTTTGTCTGGTTTGCAAATTACAATATCCTAGTTCTTCTTTAATTTAAAAAGTGCAATCATATGTTCTTTCGCTCGAGAAAATTTTCACGTAACATGTTAAATGTTCTTGGTTCTTTCATCTCATGACCGAGCAGGAAAATATAGGCTACCGCTACAAACGAATTCATGAGCGAGTAAGTGTAGGAAGACAAACTTGTGGACTTAAAACCAAACTATCCTTGTTTGTTCAATGCGAGACGCCATACTTTTAAAATCCAGACAATTTTGCGTATGAAGAAATCGCAAAGGAATTAAAGCAGATAAAGACAAAATGTTTTGAATAAAATTGTTTGTTGATCGTTGGAAACATATTCGATTCTCATAGCATCTTGACTTTACTGAAAATATGTAATTAAATGCGTATAAGCATTGGTACACATCGTTTGTAGCATAAATTCAACTGAAAAGTTGTCGACAACAAAATACCTAGCCTGTGGATGCGCTCGGCCGCTCCAGTTATTATATATAACATGGTTTCAAGTCAAATGCAGTACAAGCTTTTTCTGAGAGCAAGAGCATCGATACCATCAAGGATGTATTGCTATCGCTAATTGGGGAGAGTCTCTTATTCATTAATGCATGATATGCTGAATTAATATCGTTTGAAATGTATTGTTATCTACGGATTTATAACATGCATATATGAATAAGAGCCCCCCTCCCAATTAGCTAAAGAAATACATCCCTGGATATTATGAAACCTCCCTTGACACACTAGCCATGATTTTATTGCGACAATGCCTGTGACGTAGCAGATGTGTAACTTATAGAAAAGGCTTGGAAAATGGCAAATTCTTAAGAATGATAAATCCTGTTTGTAATTTGTAATTCAATTTGTATTTTTACGTACATTATTTTTGACTCAAGTCTCCATCAAACTTATACCTGCATCCCATTTCAGATCGGATCTGATATTATTAAAGTATTTCTTCATGTTTTTTTTAAATACCAAATAAAAACCAAAGCGATAGCCTAAGTATAAAACAAATAAAAGCGGAAAAATATCTCTAGTGTACATTAATAGAAATTCGGGGCCTGCTATAAGACGTTTCCGCAAAACTTCCGGTTCTAATTTTACTAATTATTGCGCTATCCATACTAAACATGTGGTTTTTGAGCTTAATCCATCCTTGGTTTAGTGTTTTAGCTTGTTTTTTTTAGACTTATAGTGCTAAGCGTAGTTTTTGAAATTAATCCACAGATAAGAAAAAGCAATTTATGTTTGTCAAACAATATTTTTTTTTCAATATAGAAATATCTCCTTAAAGTTAGTTCATAGAGACATAATGATTGGACAATGTCTATTACTCTAATGAAAATTGTAAGTTCGTCATAGATTGCATTTCAAATGTGAATGGTGTGATTACCTTTCAATAACTCAAACTTAATTAGATTTTAAGCCCTTATCAACCGAGCTCGAGGTCTTTATGGAGAAATATCGGAACGATTTTTTTTTATAGACCTAGTCTGTAGGGTGAGTTTCGTACAAAAAAAACAGAGGTCTTATATTCAGCAGTAAAGACTGAGCAAGCAAAGTTGATAAAAGGTTTATTATATGGCATTATTTATTCTAAAACAAACCTTGCTTTCTTTCTCGTCCTTGCTGTTTTGTACGGGTTGGCTTTCACTTTTCTATTTTTCGTCACTAAAAAATAAGTCTGTTTCTGAGTGTTTTTTTGAAACTGTTTTCTCAGCGTTTTTTCTTCCACTCATATTCGTAAATTTTTTTTGTTTTGTTTTTCTTTTTCGTTTTGCTGTTTGCATTAGCTACAAAGTTTTTTTGTACCGGCAGAAATGTTTCTGAGCCAATGTAAGCACGCCATTTTGCCGTAAGTGACGCTTCTTACATAATAAATGTTTTTAATTTCCTTGTCTTACATACTTTTCCCAA